GCCAACAGCCGCCTCCCCCAACACACACGAAAACCTTCACTAATTGGAAGGAATTCAAAGTGTCCCTAGCTAAAGCTCTGGACTCACAGAACTCTACCATCTCCCTACCGTCGGAATTAGACAGTCCCGAAAAAATCGACACCGCGGTCGATTCACTCTCCACCCTTATTAAATCCTCCCTTAAGGAGAACGAAAGGGTCGTCCCGGTTGCTAACAATAGTGGGCTTCCCCTACATATTAGCAACCTATTAAAAGCCAAGAAAGCTGCTTTCCGGAGAGCAGCAAAATAAATAAAATAAATAAATAAAAAGTATTTATTTGCCACACAAAAATACAATGTTAAAATTTAAATAGAGAGATAATAATAACTTTTTAGTTGTGACAAAACGGTCTGTGACTCAGTTGTAACGGAAAACCCATTACTCCTGCTATTCTGCCACAGCCTTTGCGCATAATTCATACAGGGTCTTAGGCAATTGATGAAACACACGTATCAACAATAAAAAAGTAAAAATAAAAATAAAACAATTAATAAATTATACCTTCCAAATACAAAAAAAAGTTGTCTAATTTGAGGGGGGTATCAAAGCCACATAGAGCCAGGGACTGTCTTTGAATAAGCCACTTGCGGCATCTTTGTCGGAAGGTAGACGGAAATAGGGTAGATCGGACTGGTGGTGGCAAATCGTTCCAAATTTTAGCAGCGGCAAATTTAAAACACCCCCTGGCTCCAGCGAGGCTAATCCTGGGTAGTGGAAGCCGATGACTATTTTCTCTGACTGAAAGCAAACTTTTTTTTTCAACAGCTATTTTATCATACAGATATCTTGGAGACTTTGCGTGATGCAGAGTGTGCAGAAAGCATGCATATTTTAATTTAGTACTATTGCACATATTTAAAATGCCATTACTGACTAAATAAGGTGAAATCCTATCCCTTTTCGGTATGTTAAAACAAAAACGCATACATGCGTTCTGCACTCTCTGCACATTCTTCACAATTTTTTTAAATAAGCATGGACCATAAACAATATCACAATAATGAAGGTGGCATAGTACTAAACTGTTACAGAGCAGCAGTCTTATGTCACGTTTTAGAAATGAGCGAATTTTATACAAAGTTTTTAACGAACCATAGCATTTACCGATTTTAGTCTGAACATGTTGCTCAAATTTTAAATTCTCATCCATAAGGAGACCTAAATTGCGAACACAACCCTCGTAAGGTATAACGGTGTCAAAGATCTTAACAAGAGATTTCCGTTCATTAATCGTTTTTACCTGGTGCTTTGTTCCAAGGGTAATGGTGACACTCTTTAAGGGATTAAGTACCAGGCCATGTTTCAAAGACCACTCCGCAATAGAATCAAGATCTTTGTTTAATTTGGAAATAGCAACAGCAACCTCCTCATCAATTGGCGTTGTGTGAACGTATACTTGGCTGTCATCTGCATATAAGTGAATTTTCGAGTGAACTATAGCTTTAGTAACGTTGGCCGTGTAAATTGCGAATAATGTGGGACCAAGTATTGAACCCTGGATAACACCTTTATTAAGGGGGAGCGTGTTGGAGACATTTAGAACTCCTTGGCTATTCAAACATTGCACTTTTTGGCAGCGATTATGGAAATAAGATTGAAACCAGGTGCAGGCCGATTCTGTGAAACCATAGTATTTTAATTTTGCCAATAGAATAGATATATCAACACAATCGAAAGCGCGGCTGAAGTCTAGCAAAACCATAATTGTTCCCTTACCCAATATAATAAAATATCCCACCACCGAATATAGGCGCACGGCCAATCGTCTTCAACGAGAACTCCGTTTCCGCCTCTCTGAATTTCGAGACCTCGAAAAGAGTAAACTCATGGAGAATATCTCTCCATCTCATACAGCGTACTATCAGATGGCTAGAGCCCTCCGCATAGACGCTATCACCAACACTCCCCCTCTCTCCCGTCCCGACAGAACGGTTGCCTTCGAGGACGAGGAAAAGACTGAGTGCTTTGCAGATAGCATTGCCGCACAATGCTCTCCTAGCTCTGAACCCGTCGACCCCTCACACGTCCAGGCAGTGGAGGATGAGGTCCGCCACCGGAACTCACCCCCTACAGCCTCCGAACCTATCTCTGTGTCCAATGATGAGATTTCATCCCTCATCAAAGGACTCAAGCCCAAAAAGGCTCCGGGCGTGGATGGCATCTCCAACCAAGCCCTAAAACACTTTCCTGAGCAGGTGTTAACCTTTTTATGTCTTATCTTCAACGCCTGCTTCCAACTTAGTTACTTTCCCACTACGTGGAAAGAGGCAACTGTAATTAGTTTTCTCAAGCCAGGCAAGCCTCTCAACCTCCCCTCCAGTCATCGCCCATTAGCCTCCTCAAGGCCATGGGCAAGCTCTTCGAAAGAGTCATCCACGCTCGCATGAGGCGCCATCTGTTTCCCAAAGACGGTGACCCTCTTATCATTCCCCATCAATTCGGTTTCCGAGCGAAACACTCATGTCCCCAACAAGTTCACCGTATTGTGGAATATATCCTCAGCGGTTTTTATCCTCGTCGTCATAACGAGCGACATAGCTAAATCCTTTGATAGAGTCTGACATACAGGCCTTATATACAAGCTATACAAAATAGGTCTCCCCGATCGTCTAGTACGTCTCATGGCCTCTTATCTAAAGCATTGTACCTTTCGTTTTAGACACGAAGGCACGCTATCTTCACAGCGCCCTATCAAAGCTGGTGTCCCTCAAGGCTCAGTACTTGCTCCTCTGCTGTACATCCTGTTCACCAACGACATTCCCATCCCGTCGAAAGGTGTTCAGCTCTCCCTATTCGCGGACGACACTGCTATCTACTGTAAAGGTATCTCGCTACCTTTCATACGGAACAAGGTTCAAAAGAAAGTTGACGACCTAGGAGCTTGGTTCAAAAAATGGCGCATCGATGTGAACCCGGAGAAGAGCCGTTCACTTCGATTATAAACGACGCCGTCTCAAAAACACTCCACCAATACGTACGCTAGGGGCCCCTGTCCCCTGGCATACGTCTGCCAAATATTTAGGTGTCACTCTAAACACAAGGCTCACTTTCAGGCCCCACGTCAAAAGAGTAACCCGTCACGCACGTTTTTACCTGAGTAGGCAACAGTATGTTGGGCCGACACAGTAAAATGTCCCTCAGAAACAAGCGTACCCTTTATAAGGTCTGTATACGACCAGTCATGTCCTACGCGGGCCCCATTTTTGCCCACGCCGACCCTAAAATTATTAATGAACTCCAGATAGTTCAAAACCTTTTCTGTCGTCGAGCTGCGAACGCACCTTGGTACGTCCGTAATGCCGACCTTCATCGGGACCCTACAATTCAATAATTTCTTAAAAAACTCTCTGAGAACTTCTTCGAAGCCTCAGAGTCGCACTCCAATCATTTTATTCGTGAGGCAGCTACTTATGCAGCCCCACCTCTCGCTATCGAGTCCGCAGGCCGAGAAACTCTCACTCGAACCCGCCTAATAAACTGTCAAACGACCTGAACTGCCTCCTGGCGACTCAGGCCAACTCTTATTAAATTAAATTATTCATAATTAATTTGCCTTCGTAGGCACTCCCTCAGCGGCTCATAGCCGCCTGCGCCCTCTTTTCCCAAAAGAGGGCGCAGGCGGCTATGAGCCGCTCCCGATACGGCATAAGAAGCTTAAACAGCCAGTTGCCAGTCCCTAAAGGCGGTTTTTAGAAGGTATCACTTAGGTTCTCCCGGTAGGCAGTGAGTCCCTCATAACCACGATAGACCGGCTATCGTGGTATGCGTAACGCATTTTCCGCCTCCCTACATAAAGGGTAGCCCTTTCCAATTGCTTCGGGCGCAAAAAAAAAACAGTTACTCCTGTGTTTACTGATCTCCTTGATTAACTACACTTTTTTAGATTTAGTGTTCGTACATAAACAGCATACAATTGCTTTACTAAAGCACATTATATTATAATACGTATATTACACACTACGTAAATTATAAATGTGTAAATGTGGCAGATGATCTAATACCAGATAGACCACTTTTTAATTCTCAGATGTAGGTAGGACCACACTGCCGCCTGTCTTCCGAATAACCTCCACCGATGGGCCGTCCAGAGAAAAGGTTACTAGGAACCCATTCTCCTCGTCCCTACGGTGAAGGATTCTCCAGAACTCGGTATGGAGCATTTCATTTTGTGCCATTACCAGCACAGCCGCCTCCTCTGGAGAGTCAGCTTCGCTGTGGGGCAAGTAGGTAATGCCCAGCTGAGTCTTAGGCAGTTCGCCCTGGGGTATTATCGAGAGCTCTGCCTCCGGCCAGGGTTTCAGTTTTCTGATTTCACCAGCCATTAAATTGTTTTGAAATATATATTATAAGATACAATATATTTTTATTTTATTACGTATTTCACTATATCAATAATGATGACAAAATACTAAGAAAATATTGTGTTTATAGTTAAACATTTCAAATTTTCATTCCCAAAAAAAGCCATTTTCTATTGCTAGTATATCAAATGGAATGAGATTCTAAGCGAACATCGCTTTAGGAGAGACAATGCTCAAGCGACGAATCTTACGATAAACAGACAATAATAACAATTACAACACGTAATATAAAATAGGTTTTACACAATAGCTAGTGTACAGTGGATGAGAGGTAACTTTACATACACTTAATACTAAATAGGTCAGTATTCATAGCGCGACATGATTCACGTTTCGCGTCTAACTCACAGTGTACGCGCACAGACGTCCTCGATGCGAGACATCGGCTTCAATCATCAACACTTTAAGTTAATTTTAAGTATAATAATGAATAAATATGAATAAAAGAGAAAAAATAAAATAAAAAATAATGTACTTTGTGATTCTGTATTTAAATTGTTATAATCTGCAGTTTTGAATGTTTAGATAATCCAATAACACTTTAATTTCAAAAATAATATTTTTTAAGTTATTCTAATACACATGGTACAAACGCCAGTTAGCAGTATGGTTGACGAGCGCAGGGGCATGAAGTTCCATCGGATATTTCTACTTCTCCACTCAAAGCGACAGCCTCAATCTCGATGCAAGCATTAAGAGGCAGTCTAGCTACTTGATAGGCTGCACGCGCTGGATGTTCTTGCGGGAAAACTAGAACAAAATTCATAAATTTCGTCAATATATTCGTAAATATCACTTTCTTGCAAAATCAATCATCAAGCTTATAATAGTAAACGCGATCTGTCTTATTAATAAAAATTGCTTATTCCAAGCTTAATTCGAAGTTACACTTGGACTAGCTAATCTCAGAGTAACTGACTATTTACTTCGTTATTACAATGTTATTAATAAACATGGAGTAACCTCGGAATAACTATACATTCCTTACGCCAGGATTAACGCTTGCGCTATGGCAACCCACTTATTTTAAAAGTAAAAAGAGTGAGTCAGTGGGTGCGTTTGGCAGAAAAAAGCGCTAGCAAGCGCTTACAAGCGCTAAAATAGTTTTCGGCCAGGACACGATTGCTACTTCAGTAGCGCTGACACAATCCGCCATTTTGCTTATTTAATTTGTTTATTTTGAAGTAGAGTTTAAAGTTGTTTTGTGTAAAATTAGTTTTATGTAATATAATGACATGAATAGACATATACATGTTATTAAAAATTCATGATTGGTAAGTTTTTAATATGAATACTTTACAAACATATATTTAAATTAGGTTAGGTTCCCCGGTTAAAACTAACATCGTGTCCTGGAGGAAAATAGCTACTTACGATTTGACAGCGCTTACCGCTTACGATCGCCATTTTGCTTACAAGCGCTTGCTAGCGCTTTTTTCTGCCAAACGCACCAAATGAATGATTAGTGAATGAACTCAATGGGTGCGTTTGGCAGAAAAAAGCGCTAGCAAGCGCTTGTAAGCAAAATGGCGATCGTACGCGGTAAGCGCTGTCAAATCTTAAGTAGCTATTTTCCTCCAGGACACGATGTTAGTTTTAACCTGGGAACCTAACCTAATTTAAATATATGTTTGTAAAGTATTCATATTAAAAACTTACCAATCATGAATTTTTAATAACATGTATATGTCTATTCATGTCATTATATTACAAGCGTTAATCCTGTTCCTTGTTTCTCGTGTTGTTTTCGGACTCGGTGGAAAAACTAAGTTCTAAATGTAATCGTTTTTAATATTGTTTGTAACGAAATTTTAGAATTAAGAAAAGAGCGTGAAGGGCAAACTTAATTAAATAACCATTTTTGTTTTGTTTTTGGGGATAAATAAAATCTTTTCTACATATAATTTTTGTATATTTATTTAAAAAAAATCGTTAATAAAAGCTGCCCGAACAGAATTTCCTTTAACGGAGTTATTTACTAATTGTGTGACTGGTACATTTTCATCATCTCCTTATACTACATCCTCAAGCAGATCTTGCTTTTGCATTGCAATGTATATAGTTTTGTATGCTCTTATTTAGTATTTAGTCTTAGCAGTAAACACCGAAACCTTTGCTTCCCTCCAAAGCATTGTTCTACAGTGTTACGGGACCAGATGTGCGACCGGCTGTACATTCCTTTTTTTTTTTGTTTATTAGGACGCAAGACAGGAGTGAATAAATAAGGAGTTATGCTTGTATAACCAGAATCTCCCAGAAGTCTGCCTTCAAATTCTGACTGCTCAAACGTTTGTTTTAATGCGACTATCATTAAATATTCTTGAGGCATGTGCTGCCTTACCAATGCGCCACTGTATTCATGAACTCTAAATTTGCATTTGACACAACCTGGAACAAAGCACTCATAACTTCTTTAATATGAAATAATAGATTGAGGTGATTAGGTATTGATTCTAAGAAAATAACTAAGTACGAATATGGCAAAGATGGGCAAGCTAGATGCTATAAAACTTACTTGTACATTTATTGAACTGTATCCTTTCCTGTTTATGTAGTATTGTCCGATGTTTCCAGCGATCACTTGTCTGAGTCCACATAATGAATAAAAACCTGCAATCACTTTGTTCTGCTCCACATCACTTCTCGGCATTTTAATCCATTATGCTGTTTTTGTTACTAGTGCTTACACCTTTTTTTAACAACGTAAAGTTTTACAAAATGTCAAAATACGCGACAAGTCCATGCTTACTCAGTCGTTAAGGCGACACCGTGAAAAAACCTCCACCTGCACCTCCTTTCATCGAATAGTATAGGACTATGACACCTAAGAAAGTGGGATTTTGATATAGGTAAATTCATGTTTTTTTGAATTTATGTCGGTATAATTTTGACTCGATCATAATTATTTGCGAAAACACCTCTAAAAGATCACTATAGTTGAAATTACAACGAAATCATTTGATCTATATGCTCGGGAATCACTCAAATATATTCATAATACCAATATTCATAATTTACTTGCTCATTATTTTGATAACTTAAATCAATAATTTTTTAAAAAATATTTTAAGATTCTGACAATTTCTAAGCGTTTTTAATCGTCGCGGGCGCTACGCAATTTTAGACCTTATGACGGCGTTTCTTCAAGTTTTTATAGAAATTATGTATTCACTCGGATCAGTACGGCGATAGCGTTTTCGATGTGTCGTCTTAAACTAGGTACTGCCAAGGATTAACTTTTATTCCGAGAGTAGATTCGGATTAGTTTACTCCCTCCTTACTCTATGTTTATTAATACTGAAATTAGTTATTTTAAGATTTAAACTAGGAGTAAAGTTAATCTTGATCAAGTCTGTGTTTATTAATAGGGCTGGATAAGTATAAGCCACTCTTGAGTATCAAGGTTTGCCGTATTCGTACACGCTCGCTATATTATAATATGAGAGCGTGGTCCTGCCTCGTTCGAGTTAACCCATTGGTATTTCAACTATAATATAAGTGCAGCACGGTTCTACCAAGCTTGAAATCTTAATATATATATATATATATATATATATATATATATATATATATATATATATATATATATATATATTTACGTGTCACGTTGTTTGTCCGAGATGGACTCCTATACTACTTAACCGATTTTAATCAAATTTGCACACCGTGTGCAGTTTAATCCAACTTGAGAGATAGGATAGTGTTTTTGCCCATGAGTGAACCACAATTTTTTTGCGAATTTAAGGATTTTTAATAGGACATGCCAAAGGGTCGTCGAAAAGGGCGGAACAACGTCTGCTGAAAAGCTAGTATAATCATAAATATAGATCGACAGCATCGTTACTCTATCAATGGTCTATAAATTTTAGATAAAGCATACGAAAGAATTATTCAACGATTAGACCGCGACTTTTACTGGCAAATGGTTGCTCTATCTTTATATACTTGAACCGACAAAGGACGAAACGGTAAAGTTCCTTCCCTAAACTATCTGTTCGATCATGTTCTCTTCTATTCAATTCCGGTTTACTAACACTGTTCTATTCTATTCTATTTCATTTTATACTATTATAATTTTCTTCAGTCTTAGTCTATTACTAGTCACATAGGCTTTGTCGACGTTGTGTTAAATAACATGCTTTCCTTGAAATATTTGCTTATTTTTAACGCTTATTTTTATTATTATTATTATTATTTTAACGGGTTTCTGCTTTAATCGGTTGCAAGTTTCATCCGTCACTAGACAGAGTGTACGTGCATGTTTACTCTGAGAAAAAAATCGCATAATCCCCCTTACACATCGTATAATTACTATTGCTATTTTTTTAAAGAGTCCGTCTGGGTCCATTGTTATGTTCAGAGGCATTTTAACTCAGTCTCAAAAAAGGCTGCAAATGCGTACAAAGGCCACACTGAAAGTTTTACCCTCCTGGCAGCTCATATTTAAATTTCGAATGTTTATTATTTTTAAATAACAGAAGTCCTGATTAAACAATTTTTTGGCGGGAAGTCGTTTATCAATTGTTTTTATCACAAATTCAATTTTGTTACCTTCAAATGGCAGTTAGTGGTTAGTTAAAATGGAATTACCTCAACAAAATTTTATAAGATTTGAAAGTTCACTTTCAGCAAGATTACATTCCCCGTCATCAAAATGCTTTTTTGAAAAGCATTTTGATGACGGGGAATGTTTACGTTAATAAGACACCTCATTTAAGCGCTTTAACGCGTTTTTATGCAGAATACGAACGTGTGTTCTCCTCATGATGAAGTTCGTGAAAGTCGACCTTCAACTGTGGTCACTGAGAAAAATGTGGCTACTATCAGGCGACTAATTGATAAAAACTGGCGCAACAGGTTGATGATTGGTGTTAAAAAAAATTGTTAAAGTCATTGAGCTATTATGTACTATGTAATAGAGGCGCCACTGCATTCAGCTACTCTGTTCCACTCAACTGCGGTGCATACACCACACTTTAATCAGTCACTCGCTAGGCGCTTGTAGAGTTGTCACGTGTTGTGTTGATTTAAAAAAATCTCTTGATAAAAATATGCCGTCGTGTGTACTTAGATATTGCATAAATAATTAAAAAAATGTCAGTAAAAACCAAGGAATTACTTTTCATCGGTTAATAAGATACTTAATCAATTAAAAAAGTATTATAGATTAATAATAAAAAAAATTATTCCTAAGACACCATCTCGTGTCATGGAATATAGTTTATGAAATAGGATAATATAGGAGGAATATAGAATAGGACGAATATAATATTATTATACACATTTTTTTGTAGAAACATAATATATAAGTTAATATAATCAGGCACAATTTTTCATGTTTGAATCTGCTTATTATTCTTTTATTTTATTTTTATGTTTTTCCACATCAAAGTCAAAGTGGTATAAATTCATTCATTTTTAACTCTCGCGTGTCCAGCATTTATGAACGATTCTTATTCTAATTTAAATAAATATATTTGTAATTTAAATGTTATGTTAATAGGTTTTGTTAAACATACATTTAGTATGTTTTTAATTGGACATAGATACCTTTTAAAAAATCAGATAAAAATATCATTAAAATGTAATTCTGATATAATATTATGTAATATTATATTAAATAAGCAAAATTAATATACAAAATAAATGACAAAATTTAAATATTGTTCTCGATATAATTTACCTATTTAACAATACAATTTACTATTACCTACGGGTCATTCTACCTACGTTTATTCTATGATAAAAAAACCAACCGCGCGAAGACAGAGTAGCGCACATTTTTTGTTTGAGATAGCTGTTCTAGTACGTAAGTACATATTACTTCAATGAAAACAAATTTATTTTGTAAAGGTAAGTGATACGTGTAATCTATGACATGGAGCCACGCCAGGCACTACGAGACCTTTTTAAGACGACTAGCATTTTGACACATCCATCTTTATTTATTTATGAAGTATTACCCACGACATTCAAAATCAATGCTGTGCATGAGATTGTAATGGAACATGAAGCACGAATAGATTGTTACATTCCCAGGACAAACGGCAGTAAACCAACTAAATTGAGACAGACAAAAACATTGGCAAAAGTTATTAAGTACTTTTCTACAGTAAAAAATATTTGCTGCTTTTAAGTTTACATTTAAATTGATTTATGGGTTACGCGAAACTTTCAGTGTACCCCACCCCACGCATACGACGCGGCGCCTTGAAGGTATATAGGTATGCGGATTTTTTCTTTGTTTGAAGTTGGTTGCAGGTGACCAAGGATTACTATATTAACATCACAGGTAAATTGTTAGCTCGCTTATTATGACTAAGATGATTTTATGATTATAAAAAATGGTACAATAACTCTTAATCTCATGACTTAGATGGGAAACAAAACTGCAGTCCACAACAGATATCACAGCGTATAGACAACGGAACAGTCAGATCTACATAAGCATGCGGCGAGACTTACGTAACTTCAATATATCTTATATTTGCGAAGCGATCGAGCGTAACCAAGGCTCTAAAGTCTTTGCCAGAGATCTGTCACCCAGAAACAGCCACCTGTCTAAGTTAAAGACCGAATGTGGCAGTGTCATATATTTAAAACACATGGGATTTTGATAAAAGATTAAAACGTTCTACGGACGGACATCAAACTCTTCAACTCCGACATTCATAGTGGCACTACTCCGGAGGCATGTAGCAGAAGTGCGCTGGTCTTGTTTCTTTGTGTGGTCTTGTTCTTTCTTTGGGCAACATTAGCTATCCGAGTACGAAACTAGAATAAGAATGCTATCCAATTATAGAGAGGTGTAAGAGAGGGTGAAGTTATGTATCCGGAACTCTTGACCTCTGTACTGATAAATGTTTCCCAGCTACCATACAGGAAAGGATTATGAGGAGGAGGAACTAGCAAAATGCTCAGTGACCTTAATAATGTCTTTCAACGGACAGGTCTTGAAATTAACATGAACAAGACACAGGTTATTTTTAACAGCCATATCATACCTATGCTGGTACCTAGTTATTGAGAACACTACGCTAGTCAGTTGTTAATGAGTATTTTACCTAGAAAAAATTGTCTAATTAGGTAAGCCCAACTTCGACTGAGAGGTCAATCGACTGATCCAAACGGCGCAAGTGTTCGGGCGATTACGACACAGTTTCTCGCCAAGTATCCCTCAAATCTTGAAAACAAGATTGCGTGTTGCTAGTGATGATTTTTAGATCTAAGACTTGGCCCATCACTGCTGGATGTGTGAAGAAAATCAGGTATGCCAGGTGTTTTTCGGCGCAATAAAATATGAAATTAGAAAATATTGCAGCATTTTAAGCTTAAATGGCAATGGGCTGACTACATAGCTCGAAAATCCGGCAACCGATGAGGAAGAAGGATTTTGAGTGGCAGCCTCGTACCGTTGAGTAAAGTGTAGGGCAGTCCCCTACTAGGTGAAGTGACGACATGGTAAGACAATGTGGATGTCGATAGATGCAGGGGGCTCAGGACTGTGCTTTGTGGCATTCCTTGGAGGAGACCTATGTTCAGCAGTGGACTTGTGAAGGGCTTAATGATGACGATGAATAATAATTAATCGTCCCACGAACGCATTGCGGTCCGCGACATGAAACTCCTTAAGTTGCCCTGATCCAGGTAGGTTGTAAAAGTGTGTGATCTACACATATCACATGTATAAATAAAATTTCACGTGTCTGTCTGTAATATCAAAATAACTGCCTTATTTCAAGCTAAGATCGTTATTTCCACGTCAATAAGCAATTAATGACAATTTTAGGGTCCGTAGTTAAACAACAAGGAACCCGTAGAGTTTCGCCATGTCCGTCCGTCCATCCGTCCCGTTTACTCATAGACCCTAGGTGCTATAAATCTATAATTTCGTATAGAATTATAATGGTTGGATAATTTTTTTACCCTTCTATTCCATCGTGTGGGATGTCGTTAGATAGGTCTTTCAAAAATATTGGGGGTAAGTACGGCTTGCGAAATATTTAGAATTGAATTGGTTGAATCTTTTATTAGAGTTATGGAGGCCCTCTTCCGCTCTTCCAACTATACCGCTGTTTTTGAAAACGTGAAAACTATGCACTGCAGTAGTAGAAGAATAGTCGCCCACTTATAAAATACACTTGGAATAGAAAAATTTTGTTACAGTTCCATACAAAATGACTAAAAACTAGCTGCATTATAACTTTGTAATGTTATTGTAAACTAAGATATAAACATTATTTGAAGTAAACAACTTCTGCATTACTATTATAGCTTTACTTTTTCTTTTGTGAGGCAGGCAGAGAGAATCGATAACCAAGAGACCGTTCCTGACATATCACTTTCGCTTATTTTTAGCTGACAGTTATTGTAGGTTTCATACATACATACAGCCTCATACAGTTTCATTCGTAGTACATACTCTTGGTTTACGCGGGTGACCCTTTAGGATAGTTCAGGGCAGTGATGGTTTACAGGAAGTTTCATGACGATCACGTATCTATATCTTAGGGTTCCACTGGGGGAAACTAATAAATGGATAGTGAACTATGACCATTTTTGTACGGACGGACTTGGCATGTGAATGATTTGATATAGTTGGTATTATTTAAATCTTTTTGAATACCACTCCCTATAAAGTTTGCTTGTAAAATAATTCCTTCATTTACCGTCGTCCTATTTAGACCTATATTAGTCGTTATAGCGATCAAATTGCGAACTCACTTCATCATCTTCATCATTATCATCACAGCCTTTCACAAGTGCACTGCTGAACATAGGCCTCTCACAAAAAATGCTACATGGCACGGTCCTAAGCCACCTGCATCCATCGACTTTTTGGATGTCTTACTTCAGTACGAAACTGCCACTCGGGAACCTTCACTTCCCCATGGGCGGTCGATTTTTCGAGTTATATGGCCAGTCCATTGTCACTTCAGCTTACTAATCCGTTGGGCCATGTCAGTTACTTTGGTCATACCGCAGATATCCTCATTTTTAAGCCTATCACGCAGAGAAATTCCGAGCATAGCCCTCTTTATAGCTCGCTAAGTGATCTTGAGCTTCTTCATACGGCCAGCATTGAAGAACTACGTTAGAGATCCGTAATTCATCACTGGCAACACACACTTGTTTTAAAATCTTGTTTGAAGGTTTGAGGTATTCCTGGTGAAAAGATGTGTCGTATTCTCTCATGAACTCAGTATGCTCATATTTTTAAGGCCCCTTCTGAATTCACGTATTGATACGGGCAACTGCGGAACTCTCTACCTCGACATTGTGCGTGGCCCGACTCGCAACTGGCCAATTGTATTTAAAATTTGATCTCACTGTCTGTCCGAGCCGATCTTCGGAATGGCTGAACTGATACTAATAAATTTCGAACGAACAAATAGAAAGCAATTCCAGGAGAGATCACGGCTAAAGTTTATCCGAAAACTTGAGATAATTTAAAAAAAAAACGAAAAATTGAAAAAATAAATGGCTTTGACTCTCTTAAAACTAAATAACGTCACATTAAGAGATCCTAAGCATAAGAACTAGACGAAGCTAGGACGTGCCCCAAGATTTTTTAGTTTAAAGAACACTAGCAGTGCTATTAACACTACCAATATTCCCGTTAACTACTACAATTAAGATTAACATGCTTATGTAGTCATTCACAACAGTAGTTGTATGGCGGATTCTAAACCACGACCTTTAAGTTTGTGGTTAAAGGTCGTGGTCTAAGTCCGTACCTTAAGTGCGCTACTGTAATTTCTGTAAAAACAAAAATCTACATTTGAAAAACTTACGAACACTACTAAAATATCCCAAGTTGTACTTACATTCTGCGTAGATTGGATTGACTACTTGTAAGTCCTCAATGCAGGCTAGCAAGATCGTCGTTTTAACGACCGCTCTTAGAGAAGAGTCACCCGCTTCTAAGATTAGTTTAAGATTGTTAAGCGCACATCTTGCTTGGCCCTCTACTCCACATATCATATTCGATGATTGGTCCAGTCCCAACACGCCTGACACGTATAGTGTTCTATCGGCTAACACTGCTTGACTGAAAATAATGAAAAAATGTCGTGTAGTGGCGGAGTAAGAAAATCCTCTACCCCTTATCGTCCAGGAGTGTCGTAGCAGCGACAGTGTCTTCCTGATAACAATTAAAAATCGCTTGCCACGTGTGGCAACCATGGCAACGTCAAGTATTCTCCATATGAGGCAGTATATGGGGGAAGCATATCTTTAACAGTGATCTTTTGATAGGCTGCAATGAATAATAAACAAATAAAAATAAATGTTCTAGTATATTCACTTACATATTCATTAATTTTTCAGAAAGACAAAAACAAGCAAAAATAATAAACAAAACCTAGTACATAAAAACTCTGCTCTGCGGCAACCAACGGAAGTAGACAGTACAGTTTTCGCAAGTCCACTACCGAACGTGTCGTTCGGTAGTGGACTTGCGAAAACTGTGATGATTACCTATTTTATTATATGCAATCGATATACTACTACATAATGTTTAATCACAATTTGTAACTGTATATGATTTATTGTTTAGTATTATAAAATCTAACTTTTTAAAACTAATATGATGTAGTATATTAGTTTTAAAAAGTTAGATTTTATAGTGTGGCAAGTACGTACTAGTACATCATTCATCATCATCATTTCGCGTTTCTCAAAAAAAAATAATATACTACAGCTTGTCACAAGTTCACTGCTGAACATAGGCTTCCCCCTAGACATGCCCACAAAACACGGCCCTGACCACCAGCATCCATCAATACCAGGTCGTCACACCATTCGAGGGGGGAGGCCTTTACTCTGCTGGCGGTTGTCGGTTCTTCGAGCCATATGGCCATCCTATTGCCACTTCAGCTTACTAATCCGTTGTGCTATGTCGATTACTCTGGTTCTTCTGCGGATATACTAATTTATAAATATACCTCATATACATATACAGTCAGCCGTGAAGGACCACGTCTCAGATCCATATGTCACAGCCACTGGTTGTATAATCTTGTTTTGAGGTATAAACCCGACGAGAAGGTGTGTCGTAAACTCCCGAACGGTGCCCAGACGAGTTGAATCCGTCGACTTACCTCTCGGTCTAAGTTGGACTTATATATTCGGACTATTTCTCTTAGACAACCATACTCGTCAACAACTTCGAGCGTAGTGCTCCCAACAACTTTCGGCACTGGCATGACATGGACGTAACACATTCATCATCACCTTTGTTTTGTCCATGTTCATTTTAAGACCTATTCGTTGTGAAATATTATTGAGGTAATTGAGCAAAAGTGCTTAGGTCTTCCAGCGATTCTGCCATAAGGACTATATTGTATCGGCAAATCGAAGGTGAGTCAGTCAAGAGCCAATAGATGTTAATACCGTACCCTTTCTAGTCCATTAGCTAAGTACTATACCATAAACACTCACGCCTGTCACCCAGAGGGGTAGGCAGAGACTACGGACTTCCATTTGGCACGATCCTGACATACCTCTTTCGCCTCCTTTACATCCATATATCTACGCATACATGCTTGTCGGTTAAGGGTACTTCTAACGTGGCCCATTTTCAAAATATCGCCAATTTGGTCGATAAACTTTTTTCTAGGGCGTCCCTTCCCGACTCGGCCGTTCACATCTGCCATATAAATTTGCTTTGTCACTCTTTCCTCATTCATTCTTTCTACATGACCAAACCACCGAAGCATTCCTTTCTTAATCCTGGTCACAATATCATCTTGCATACCACATTTATCTCTTATCACGCAATTTCTCACCCTATCATTCAGATTCAACCCTAAAATATTCCTTAAAGACCGCATTTCTACAGAATTTATTCTACTTTCGTGCTTCTTCTGCCACACCCATCTTTCACTACCATACATTAAAGTAGGGACTAACACAGCATTATGAATTACCATACGTGCCTTTTTTGACACATTCTGGTTCTTCATAATAGAGTGTAGTGCCCCATTCACTCTATTCCCTGCATTTACTCGTCGTTCTATATCCCTATCATATCTACCATCCCCGCTAAATACACATCCCAAATACACAAACTCATCCAATTGCTCAATTAACTCTCCTTCTATTCTTATTTCACATACCGTTTTGCTTTCTTCTCTTTCAAAAACCATCACTTTCGTCTTACTTGCGTTCACTTTCATTCCCCTTTCTTTTAATTCCCAGTTCATTAATGTAACCATCATTTGCAACTCAGCCGCCGATGACGCAAATATGACTTGATCATTGGCATACAAAAGGCATTTGACGGTTAACTCGCCCATTCTTAACCCACATTCTTCGTCTTTCAAAGTTTGCAAACACCTGTCCATAAATAGGTTGAACAGCCAAGGGGAAGCTACACAGCCCTGTCTGACACCTTTTTGGATGCCAAACCAGTTCGAGTAGACCCCATTGATCCTGACACAAGCACTAGAGTCCCTATAAAGAGACCTTGATGCCTGTATTAAACCAGCGCTCAACCCATATGAGTTCAGTGTTTACCATAACACATTCCTGTTCACTCTGTCATAAGCCTTTTCCAAGTCCATGAACGCACAAAAAACCTTCTGGTTTTTGGCCAAAAACTTCTCCGCAATCATGCGCATGGAAAAGACTTGATCTGTACACCCCATTCCCTTTCTAAAACCCGCTTGCACATCCCAAATTTTTCCATCAGTTTCTTTCATAACTCTTTTAATTAACACCTTAGCAAACAGTTTACCCACAATACTAAGCAAGCTGATACCACGGTAGTTTTTACAGTCCTGCAGTCCTGCTGTGACCCTTTTCCTTTATATATTGGTACTATATTAACTGCTTTACACCAGTCATCCGGTACCCGTTTTAATTCCCAACATAAATTAAACAAGGTGTACAGCAGGCCTGCTACCACTCCCTCTCCAGCCCTTAGCATCTCGAGTGATACTCTATAATATCCAGCTGCCTTACCTGCTTTCATGTTTTTCATTGCTTTCATTATTTCATCTACACTTATCTCCATACCTCTTTCCCCTTCTTTCGGAATTTCTAATTCATTCAATTCAAACGTCTCCTCACTCGTAAATACGCTTTCAAAGTATTCCTTCCATCGCTTTAAATTCGAGACTTCGTCATTCAGAATACAGCCATTCTCGTCTCGTATAGCATTATTTATAGGCTGTTTTGTATTTCCCCTGGCAGTTCTTACGAGTTTCCAGAACATTTTTATGTTAGCCTGAAAATTATCAGATATCCTTCTATCATTCTTATCCATTCTTTCTTTCTTTTTCCTTTCAACAACTTCTTTTACTCTCTTATTTAGACGTCTAAATTCTGCCTTTTTTCTTTCAATCTCATCATTCATACCAGAAGAATTACCAGCTTTGGTTGCTAGTAAATCTAACCATGCTTTCTTCTTTTATTCAATTTCTACCCGTACCTCATCATCCCACCACAACGTATTACTTTTCCTTTCATTTGTTCTCTTACTTACACCACATACTTCGGTGGCGGCATCCACCAAACCTTTCTTAATATTATCCCACACAGTATTCAAGTCTAAATCATTCATACACAACTCATTCAAACATGTAATATTTTCTCTCAGTCTACATTTATACTTCTCTTTCACATCTTCATCTTGTAACTTCTCTATTCTTATACGCTGTAACGTAGTGGTACACACAGATGTCCGATGCCGCCAACGCTTGAAAGGACCATTAATTCGACATAAGACCAAGTAATGATCCGTCCCTACGTTGGACCCCCGGTAAACCCTTGTATCTACGACTGCGCTCCTCATTCTTTCATCCACAATTACGAAATCTATCATGCTTCTATCATCACCTCTTTCCCATGTATACATGTGAATCTTCTTATGACAAAAAAAAAAGTATTCGTCACAAAAAAGATTCTTTTCCACACATAAGGTGAGGAGGTTTTCACCATTCTCATTTATACTTTCATAACCAAAAGTTCGCAATATACTTTCATAACCAGACCTCTTCACCCCAACTCTTCCATTAAAGTCTCCTAACATAATAATATTTTCATTTTCCTTACATTTTGTCAACACCATCCTTACCATGTCCCAAAACTGCTGTCGGATGTAAGTGGGCATAGACATGTCTGGGGCGTACACCCCTAGCAGGAACAGCTTCTTTAAGCCCACTTTCATTCGTATCCATAGCAGCCTCGGGCTTACACATTCATACTCTTTCACACATTGACCCATTTTTTCTGAAATGATGAAACCGACTTCCTGGCATGCCCGTTCGGTCCCGTCTACACCAGACCAATACGCGGTATACGTGCCATGTGCAGTGGCATCCTTTCCCTTTCGTTTCGTCTCATTCACACATAACACATCTATTCCTCTGTCATTCATCATTTCGCATACTTCATCCATCTTATCATTTATTCCTCCACATACATTCAGCGTAGCCAGACGGGTTTCCGCAATCCACTTTTCGCCCCTCCGGGAGATAGAACGTGACGGGTGGCAAACCTCGTCGCCGGTTTTTCTCCCGGAGATTCTTCGCACCCCTGCCCCATTAAAGGGGCGCCGGGAACTCGGGGCCATTTCTTTTATTTCCTGAGTCATGGTGCGAACAATGGTTGGTGGTAGATTTTACGCCGCTACCATAAGGCGAGGAGCCGAGTCTATTTTTTCAGCTTTGTCGCTCGTTTAGCACCACCCGGGGGACACGTGTAGGGTGGGCCTACGGTTAGGTGGTCGAAGCCTACGGACGCGAGTGACTCATCCCCCCTAGCTAAGCACTAATAAATTAAAAAAATAATTATTAATTATTGTTATGCGTCTTAATTCATACCCGTGTCATAAAATTAAAAAAGTTGTAACGATTTTATAACTGCGTCTCTAAAACTAAGCGAAATTTAAATTACCAAAAACCTATGCTACGCAATAAGGTACGGTACACAAAAGGACGACATTCGCATAACGCCTTTTTTTCATCATCGTTTTTTAAAATTGTACTTGTAACGAATAAATGTACATTAAATTTTTGTTTAGATAACCCATCTATTAAAAGAAGTTTTTACAAATATTGTGCTTTAATTAAAATAGAACGAATTTTAAAGTTAAAATTCGCATTAAAATACTTGTAATATCCACCCTACCATGTAATTAACTTCTTCCAATTTAGTTACTGTATAATATCATTAAACGTATCGAAGTCTATTGTATCTATAAAAAGGTCAAATAATGTAACGTACAGTAGGTAGGTGTACAATAAATGCGTAAAATCGGACACCAGAAACAGAACAAAATCGTTTTAAATCTTCAAGAACAAAAAATTAAACAAATCTTTACTCCAGTCCCATATCGTTGCTACTTTTCAATAATTAACGGCATAAGCACACTGTCAATATCGATTTGAAATATTCAAGAAAATATTTTATAGGTATTAATAAGTTAAATGTATAACTAACTTACCTGTATGGTCCAACAGGTCTATAAACTTGAGGAGATGTTATTATTCTTTTGATCAGTTTTGTTGAAGCGTTGGAATTGCTTGCTTTACTATTTGCCTTCATCATATTTTTTGGATGAAAATTACACACGTCTGTTTTACAATTTGTCGTAAGCGCATTAAACAAAGAATACACGCAGTATAATTTGCTTTAAGGGTCAAAAGAATCACAACATATTGCTCCTTTAGTGATAAGACACATAATTTATTTCTTAATTTATCATGACGATGTAATTTATCTTCATTTGACTTTTAGATTTTAATTTTTACAATATTATGTCAATACATTCTAATATAAATTATTTTTAATTGTGTTCCATTGCCAGTATTTTTATTATTAGGTAGGTATTTCGGTTTCAGGTTATTATGAAATAGATTGTTTTTATAAATAAAGGCTTTATTGTTTTTAAATGAATGCGTTCTTATGTCATTTTTTAAGATACCTACTAGCTTTTTCCGTTAGCGAACCGAAGCTCAAGGAATCTGCAAGCAACATTATTAGTATTGGAAACATATACAGACATCCACCGAGGTTTTTGTCTGTATGTAACGATTGTTTTACATAGGCATAAGAAGAAAAGAATAATAAAAGCCTTTGTTTTGGCATTCTAGTAAATTACCTTATTTACTAGAACGCCAAGACAAAGGCTTCAATAATCCTATACTTATTATATAAATCTTTTAAGTCTTACAGAAACTCGTGTACGCGAGTCAATATATTATGCACGGTTGCAATATTGTTTTGCATGTCTCAAGGGCAAAGCGCGTAAGGTATGTTCTAAAAGTAGCGCCTAAAAATCACAAATTCGACGTTTTGTCGCACGAAATCATGTCTAACAATCATGTTAAATATATAAATGATATAAAAAGGACATTGTCAGAAAGATAAATTATTGCTGAACTTATAATTTTTTTAAATCGATTAATTGCCATTTTTACATTAAAAAATAATTGGTTGCAGCTTATGGTGTAGATTTATTGAGTCCGCATAGAGGGGTAAACACGATAACTTTTGAAAATATCAATTGTTCAACTTCATACATTTTTTGATCCCTTCTTCTATTATGTGAGAAGCCAGGGAATGTAAATAACTGTTTAATTTTGTTTTGTTTAATTATAATTTTTTTCGGCTGAGAAATCGCGAATTTTCGGTGTCTTGAGCAGCCTTGTAATATAATATAATTATATTCAACTCACTCCAGCCTTGGCCACCATCGTGCGTGGGTTATTGTATAGTTTGTTTACAGAGGCTCGTGATGGAAAAATCGTAGAAATACAAAATATTCCAAAAACCAAATTTGATACATACTTGACCAAGGTAAGATATAATAATTATTTTTATAATCACAGATTTTCATTACAATATAATTTTCCCTATACCTTAATACTGTTGCGCGAATAAGTCGACATCATGTATCGGACACTAGCGCCATCTAGTGTCAAGGACGAGAGCGAGGGGAGCTTTCCAGAAAATGACCACTAAGCTTTCAACCGACAGCGGCATCTAGCCTCGGAACGAAGAACTAAGCTTCTAGAAGTCGACACTCGAACTCTTGGCCCCTTGCGCGTGTTTACTTGAATATTCTGGATGTTTCGGTGCTAATTTGTATTTATAGGCGCTGCAAGATGCGATCGGGGAAGTATTGAATTCGGCGAGACAAGCGAAGCTTCGAAGGAGAATAAAGTGAATTAGTGTGATTAATTATTAGTGCTTTAAATTTTAATTAGTGTAAAGTGAATTAAAGTGTTAATTTAGGTAATTTTATCGGCAATTTTTAATTGTCACGAACCTTAAGATCGTAACAATTGGTGTCAGAAGTGGGAATATGATAATAAAATCATGCCGATTTTACCTAAGGAGGAAACGGAGGGTGTTCGTACCCGAAGTCAACGCCACAAGTAGACGGACCAAAGAAGATTTGGTGGTGCAACGCCGCAGACGTCGGAGGGCCAGCCGCCGGCTGCGGGCCCGTCAGTAGCTCCTACATCTGCAGCACCTGACTTAGGTGCTCTGATGGTGATGCTGTAGGAGCAGGCTCGCCGACAGAAGGAGCAGGCCCGTTGGTTGAAAGAGAAGCAGGAGGAACAGGCTCGCCGACAGGAAGAGCAGATGCTCCTCGTGAAGGACATTCACGCTAACTTCGGGAAAGAGATAAGGGAGGTGAAGGATAGGGTTGCTCAACATGATAACCGCCTGTCGGAAGCTGAAACCCAAATCAAGGAAGCTAAAACCCAAATCGACCAAGTGAACAATCGGGTTGATTACGTGATGGCTGACGTGAAGAAAACGCTGGATGACCTTAAACTGGGGGACGGAATTACAGCTCCCGTAGTAGCTGCAACACCTGCGCTACGTGGTGCCACCGTTCGACGGAACTTCTTCCTGGTCAGCCTACAAAATCCAGTTCGAGGCTGTTATGAAGGCGAACGGCTGGATGACATCATCATCATCAAAGGCCGTACGTTTGAGGAACACCTTCAAAACCTGGAACGCGTGCTCATGAAGATTCAGAGTGCCAACCTCAAGTTGAATCCGAAGAAATGTTCACTATTCAAACGGCAAGTCAACTTTTTGGGGTATGTAGTGTTGGAAGAAGGTATCCGCACGGATCCAGAGAAAATCGCCGCTGTCAAGGATTGGCCGGTTCCAAAAGACAAGACGCAGGTTAGAGCATTTTTGGGTTTGTGCTCCTATTATCAGCGATTTGTGAAGAACTTTGCAGATATAGCCAAACCTCTGCATAAGCTAACCGAGGAGAAGCGACATTTCTGCTGGGATGAAAGTTGCAATATCGCATTCCAGGAGCTCAAGGACCGTCTGTGCAAAACACCTATTTTGGGATACCCTGATGCAAGCAAAGAATTTATAGTAGACACGGATGCAAGTGATATAGGACTTGGCGGTGTGTTGTCTCAACGGAATGGTGACCAAGGGGTCGTGATAGCGTACTTCAGCAAGACGTTGTCAAAACCGGAAAGGAACTATTGTGTCACAAGACGCGAATTGCTAGCTGTGGTAAAGTCGTTGCAGCATTTTAGCAAATATCTTCTGGGGCGGAAATTTCACTTACGAACTGACCATGCTGCACTAAAATGGCTATTACAGTTTAAAAATCCAGAAGGACAAGTTGCGAGGTGGATTGAACTACTGCAGGAATACGACTTTGAGATCGAACATCGCGGCGGGAAATCTCATGGCAACGCAGATGCATTGTCAAGAAGACCTTGTCCTGAAGATTGCAAACATTGTACTAGGCAAGAGAGTAAGGAAGTGGTATCCGTGAGGATGCTCAGGACAGACCACCTCAGCAACGAGTGGAAGGATAGCCTACGATATGCACAGCAGGAAGATCCGGACATCAAGCCGATTCTGCAATGGATGAAGGCCAGTGCTCCCAAGCCCAAGTGGAGCGACGTCTCAGTGATGAGTTCGACCACTAAAAGCTATTGGGCCCAGTGGGAAAGCTTGCTGCTTCAGGATGGAGTTCTGTGCCGTAAATGGGAAAATGTTCGGGGAGACAGCTGTCATTTGCAAATGGTCGTCCCTAAAGCTAGAGTACCGAATGTTCTACAGCTGTACCATAATGATTGTTCAGGAGGCCATCTGGGAGTTAAACGGACTCTACTGAAGATCCGAGAACGGTTTTACTGGGTCCACTGTCGAAACGATGTCGAGGACTGGTGTCGCAAATGTACAAGTTGTGCGGCTGTAAAGGGACCTCACACTCGTAGTAGAGGTGCATTGAAGTTGTACAATGTTGGTGCACCATGGGAGAGAATAGCCATTGACGTGGCGGGGCCGTTTCCGGAGAGTGAAAGCGGAAACAAGTATTTCATGGTTGTGATGGATTACTTCACTAAGTGGCCAGAAGTCTTCGCCATTCCAAATCAAGAAGCTTCAACAGTTGCGGATAAGCTAGTTCATGAAGTCTTCTGTCGTTTTGGAGTACCTTTAGAGATTCACAGCGATCAAGGAAGGAATTTTGAGTCTCAAATATTCCAGGCAACTTGCTGAGTTATGGGTACTCATAAAACAAGAACGACTTCTTATCATCCGCAATCTGATGGAATGGTAGAACGATTTAATCAGACATTGGAGAGGTACTTAGTAAAAGCTGTAGACAATCGGCAACGAGATTGGGACAAGCACATACAACCGTTTTTGTTGTCATATCGAAGCGCTGTTCACGAAAGTACAGCAGTGACACCAGTTTTCGCAAACTTTGAAAGAGAATTACGGCTGCCTGCAGACCTGATCACCGTGATACCATCTGATGCCCCACGCAGTATAACCGAATATGCAAATGACTTGCGGAATAAAATGAATGACATTTATGAGCACGTCAGACAATCGAGCCAGCAAATGCCTGAGAAGATGAAAACCCGGTACGACCGCAAAATGAACAATAAAGGCTTCGACGAAGGTTCACTAGTGTGGTTGCACAATCCAGTTCGCAGCAAAGGCTAAATGGGACGGCCCGTACCGGGTTGTAACCATGATCAACGATGTAACCTACCGGATACAGAAAGGCGCAAGAGGGACTCCTAAAATCGTCCATGTGGATCACTTGGCGCGTTATTATGGGGCCGATAATGCTCGGGACGAGCATGTCTTAGGAGGGGGCAGTGTTGCGCGAATAAGTCGACGTCATGTATCCAGCATTAGCGCCATCTAGTGTCAAGGACGAGAGCGAGGGGAGCTTTCCAGAAAATGACATCACTAATCTTTCAACCGACAGCGCCATCTAGTCTCGGAACGAAGAACTAAGCTTCTAGAAGTCGACACTCGAACTCTCGGCCCCTTGCGCGTGTTTACTTGAATATTCTGGATGTTTCGGTGCTAATTTGTATTTATAGGCGCTGCAAGATGCGATCGGGGAAGTATTGAATTCGGCCAGACAAGACGCTTCGGAGCGGAATAAAGTGAATTAGTGTGATTAATTATCAGTGCTTTAAATTTTAATTAGTGTAAAGTGAATTAAAGTGTTAATTTAGGTAATTTTATCGGCAATTTTTAATTGTCACGAACCCTAAGATCGTAACAATACGTCACTTACACGTCTTGGA